AATAACGGTAAATGAGATATTACTTTGGATAAATAGAACTACTCCGCTTTTACACTTCCACTAGAGTGAAACCTTAAGAATCACATTCTTAACTGTCTACGGACTGCGTCAGCCGCGTTCCTAAGACTGCGATAATTTCTGACTTGATCGAGTCTATCTGTGCACCTAGCACTGATACTTTTGCTTTTTCAGCTTCTCGTCTTCCTATAAGGTGTCTCAATCAGCAAGTAGTTACGGACAGAAACTTATGACCTTTTTAGTTTCCGTCCATTCTGTAGTATCGAGTCCCTTTCACTGAGATTCTTAAATACTACTTTTAGCAACCCGTTTCAATTATCTTTCAAGTCCCTTTCGCCACCTTTAGCAAGGTGACTCCATAGATTTCTGGGTCATTAGCCGGTTTGGTAACTTTATTATCAAGTTAATTTCATTTTCAATACGATTTCTGAGCTCTCACTCTTCTTAACAATATAAAAGACAATCGACTTGCCACTATAATCAGTATCCAATTTCTTCTCAACTCTTTGAACGACTGACATTTCTTTACCAACATTAGGTCGTTTTGTTATTCTTGATCTGTACCCATGTAGTGGCATTGGGCCATGACCACACTATCCCAAAGCTGAACACGAGACAACCGGGAAAACTGATATTCATTATTCGACGCGGAGAAAAGCCAACGGTGGAGGAGGCGGGAGGAATGAATGGAGTTCAAATCGATCGGACGGTATGGCTCAACCTTGCAGGCGTGGTCACTCTTAAGTGTTGTAACATAATCTTTTATTCATATTAAATATATTGTTCTATCTCTAGCCCAAGTTTATTCTCTATCATATATCGGTGATTGGTACGATGTGATGAGTTGGCGTAGACAATGATTGACTTGCACGTAGGATATTATGGATTAGGCAGTTACGGCATGAAAAATGTACAATTTTAGGATTAGGTCTATTGTTAGAACAGTACTACTATCATAGTGGACCATAATTCTACTCTCATTCATCAACTTTCATTGAAGTATCAATCATACATTCATTTTCTTTTGCAATATCAACTTATGCTGGCAGCTGAAACTAAATAAATATAACAACTTGTATGCATCTAAAGAAAAAACAAATGTTGAAATCATGAGTCAGTTGAAGCTAGACCACCATTGAAAACCTGGATGCACTGGACGGCCGTCTCGTCCTGGCATGGGAATCCTCAGCAGTGCGCATCCACGATCCCGCACCACGCGGGGCTCGAACCCAGGACCTACTGGCTTCGCGCGCGAGCACTTAACCATTAGACCACTGAGCCGGCATCCAACGGTGTTAATGTCTAACATCAACCAATCCACGAAGTTGCGCCACCATACACCATTGTCTTCAGCGAGTTGTTATCTCACAACAGACCGGTTGAACTCCACTGGTAACGGCTTCTCACTAGAACTCCAGGAGTTTTTCCTGAAGTCAGTCACTAGTGAGCAGTTGATTATTATCAGAATGGGTTTTGTGGAGAGTTTTGGAAATTACACAGGTTGAAATCATGAGTCAGTTGAAGCTAGACCACCATTGAAAACCAGTAGGTCCTGGGTTCAAATCTCGTGGGGTGCGGGATCGTGGACGCACACTGCTGAGGAGTCCCATATCAGGACGAAACGGCCGTCCAGTGCTTCCAGGTTTTCAATGGTGGTCTAGCTTCAACTGACTCATGATTTCAACCTGTGTAATTTCTAAAACTCTCCACAAAACCCATTCTGATAAAAAACAAATGATTAAAATGAATTGATCTCATTTTCTGACGAACAATATCCTGGCCTTACTTAAATCAGCCAAAATATCCTATTTCACTGATGTGAAGCTTTGAAACTCCAACTAAAAACTCTCATTGACTATTGAGTCACAAACCCATGTTACGTGTAGGATTGTATCTTATGACCACTGGCCAGTATAACATCTCAAAACATCAACCATAATCATAATTCGGTGTGTCTCGCGCTCAACTGCACACCCGGCTGGTAGATTTTTACCTTGAGCCTACGGCTAAGTTCCTTTTGACCAATTACTAGAAAGCTTCTCAAAATACCCTACCTCCAAACTAAGATCAACAATGAGCTCCCACAGACCTGGTTTATTTACAGACATAATGAACCGCACCACACCATAAAATCGAAACCAAACATAAACAAGCTAAAGATTATTGTGGATAGGGGAGATAGCGAGTAACATACTGAAAACACTCTAAGAAGATCTGTCAGGATTTTGACAGTACGATATTCTACCTAAATCCCGAAAACTTTACTTGACTTAAAAAATGAAATCAGCGTTCTCTAAATTACTTCAGAAGGATTTAAAGACTTTCGAAAATACTCAAAGACGAATTGTGAAACCAATATATGGTACCTAGCCCAAACTACTATATCACTACCCCCTTAAGTAGATGACACAGAAGTAATATTGTGACTTTTAAAACTATAACTATTCATGAAATTTCAAAGGCAACTCTCAGGATCATTGTGGAACAATCAATTGAACGGGATTCATCACTCTACATCAACTTCATTGACTACGAAAAGACATTTGATAGCATGGACAGAACAACACTATGGAAACTTCTTTGACACTACGGCGTGCCTCAGAAGATAGTCAATATCATACAGAGTTCATATGATGGATTAAACTGCAAAATCGTGCATGGAGGACAGCTGACGAAGTCGTTCAAAGTGAAGACCGGTGTCAGGCAAGGTTGCTTACTCTCACCCTTTCTCTTTCTCCTGGTGATCGACTGGATCATGAAAACCTCAACATCTGGGGAGAAGCACGGGATACAGTGGACATCTAGGATGCAGCTGGACGATCTAAACTTCACAGATGATCTGGCTGTTCTATCGCACACGCAACAACAAACGCAGTAGAGGACGACCAGTGTAGCAGCAATAGGTCTCAACATACATAAAGGGAAAAACAAGATTGTCCGATACAACACATCATGCGACAATTGAATCACACTTGACGGAGAAGATTTGGAATATGTAATAACCTTTACATATTTGGGCAGCATCATTGATGAACAGGGTGGATCTGATGCAGATGTGAAAGCGCGGATCGGTAAAGCAAGAAAAGCATATTTACAACTGAAGAACATCTGGAACTCAAAGCAACTATCAACCAACACCAAGGTCAGGATTTTCAATACAAATGTCAAGACAGTTCTACTGTATGAGGCAGAAACCTGGAGAACTACGGAAGCCAACATCCAGAAAATACAGGTGTTTATTAACATCTTTCTACGCAAAATAATTCGGATCCGTTGGCCAAACACTATTAGCAACAACGTACTGTGGGAGAGAACAAACCAGATCCCAGCGGAGGAAGAGATCAGGAAGAAGCGCTGGAAGTGGATAGGATGAATATTGAGGAAAGCACTCCACTGCGTCACAACGTATGCCCTCACTTGGAATGCTCAGGACCAAAGGAAAAGGGGAATACCAAAGGACACATTACGCCGGGAAATGTAGATATGAGAAAAATGAACAAGAATTGGACGGAACTAGAAAAGAAGGCCCAGGACAGCGTGGGCTGGGAAATGCTGATCGGCGGCCTATGCTTAATTGGGAGTAACAGGCGTAAGTAAGTACTTGTTTGTATCCAGTCTTAACACAAACCACAGAGGTAATAGTCAAAATTTGGAAGTGTGACGAAGCAAGCTTGGTTGACGACTTCATATTTTGCATGAGTACTCAAGCTTTGGGATCCAATGCCATTCGAAGCGAATCAAATAGCTATCCATTTCTTCGAGAGGAGACCCCATGTCTACCGGGGGACTTCACGCAACACTAAAACTTTTTCTGATTGTTTTCGTATACCAAGGTACTACCTGCCTAGCTATAGGGATCGTTAACCAAATATAACGAGATACGAATAGTCCATGGTCACAAAGTAGATGAGGAACCCTCTTCGAAGGAATGGGAAGAAACTACAACCATCTTATTTTCAGTGAATTTTACATACTGCGAAAAAGGTGGGTACAGTTTCATGAACATGCCCTAAACACTACAGATGTTCCCTCGCAAGTGATGTTCAGTGCCAATGCGTAGAAGGATTGTCAGCAAAATATAGATTGAATCAAAGCTTGTTCCGTGCAGAATTGTGTTGGAACACGTTGAGTGGCCATTTCTTAGCCCATCAGTACTGGTCGATACTTGAAGAAAATTCTAGAATCTCCTTATGTAAAATTACACATAAACAGTGGTTTACCCTATTATGCTTTTTCCTCCCATTCTACCTTGTTATTTGAAAGATAATTACGTTCCTGATCAACTGTGTATTGATTTGTGGACTTATAGAGTGAACTAGCATTCGAAAGAATGCTAAGAAATAAGAGTAGCTGGGTCTGAATGAGATCATGACAAGGAGATTGAACAATGAGATATCATGGACTAAATAGTGACATAATTCTTCGTCATGAAGATTGAACTACAGCTCAATCAACTGCACACACCCACTATCCAGATAAATCACGGAGAACAAACAGTCCCACCAAAGCTTTGAGTAAAGATGATTTCAATGAGCAAATGGATTGTGAACTCTAAAGACCTAAATAGAAACTAATAGATAGTATGTGATCACTTAGATGCAGGACCTCAACTGAAAGCGAAATTTAGTCCGTTACACAGAATAAAATCAAAGTATTTTACTATCCTGGATGTCAGGAGTTACATAAGTAGGTAGGTGAATCAGTATAATCCGCCGCCAACACATCACGTTTACATTTATACTTAGGCCTGACCATATTTACTGCATGTGCTTATTTACTACTGGTTGTGCTGATAGTGACTGTAAAAATGAATACCAACTCTAAACAACCGAGTTACTAAACCTTAGGACGAAACCTGCCGCAATTAACGCTAATACAAAGCAATGATTACTTACTCGTGGTTGATTTTTGCAGAGATGAGATTAGAATTGTAGCAAAACAATAGGGAGGTTATTAATACCTTAAGTACTGAGAACACAAGAAAAGTTGCAACTGTATATTGTGGTGCAAAACTATAGCACTTAACAGATTAGGATTTTTAGCAAACATATCAATCTAAACAGATTAGAAATTTAAGATTATAACGGTATTTAAAATAATCTATGAGAAACGTCGAACAAAATGCCTACAAAATTCCCTATATATTTATTATGTACTAAATAATGCGCAATAGGTTTTATAAAATGTCCAACATACGTCATATAACAAAACTTTACTGCAGAAACAGTTGGATTGTATTTTGTGGAATAATTCAAAGTGCTAGATGTTTGAAAAGAACATAATTTTGTTATTAACTAACGAAACCAAAAATTTATGCTCAGTTTAAATCATTTATAGCCAAAAAATGAAGAAACAAATAGAAAAATATATAGATCAAAATCACTTGAAAATATATAGATAACGGGTTAGTTAGGATTCGAAACAAAAACAAATTATGACTAGTTGAAAAGAAATGATCTTTAACACTTCCTCACATTTAAAATTCTGAATAAGGTGTGCTGGAGTCAATATCTACATTATCGGCTGATAAAAACTTGTTTGCTAAAACTGAATTACTTGGTGTATAACAAATTCCACTGTCGTCATTTTCTGTTTTACATCCACGATCTGCCTGACTGATATCTGACTCAATATCATCCATAGGTAGCAAACACGGATTAGCGATACTCTGGGTACAAAAATAAAATGATAAACCAAGTGATTTCCTTGTATTATGAGGGCGAGAGATAACTAATGATCAATTTAATTAAAGAATGACACTATTGAAATCGTACAAAATAGTAAAAAAGCTTAGACATGTACAAATCAACTTAACAAAACATCTTAAAATGACTTATTATAAATTATGTCAATAAATCATTAATGAGTGAACCAGTAGTAGTCTCATACCTCGAAATTAAGAAGTACCATGATGTACCAAGATTAATTGTTAATCTATACCTTGTGGAAATAAATATCAATATAAAAATCAATTTCGAAAGGCATCGTGAGGTCAAATAATACTCCCACAAATGAATTAAAAAGGCGGAAAAGACTGAATTGAAAGTTCTGTTTTACAAAGCCACCGTCAGTAAATCATTTACAGAGTCTAGAATAGAGGGTAATAATAAAAATCCTTTACATACAATAACGTGCTGTTATCGGTTCATATGACAGTTATATATAATCTAACATATAGAAGTAAACGCTGATTCAAACGCATTATTTGTCAAAGACCTGTATCCAAAGGTCAGCGGACTCGAAGGTAGTGATAATCTTGTCAGTGTATTAACACCATACTTGAATAGTGTTTGCAAGTAGGAGATTCGAACCCGTAACCCACCGATAGAAAACTCAAGACCAATATAACCTGATAGATACAATCACAAAAAATAAGAAGCCATATCATGGAAAACAACTGATAATATTAACTAAACAATGAGGGTGTGGGTACATCCAGCCAATGAGTCCCAAATAGTATGAGACGCGCGTTCTGGATTCCACCGCTAGCCACCATCCATCTTTGCTTATTGACGATGAAATGTTTACAATACACTTCAGGTCGTTAATACTTAATGTTGGAATAACATATTAGCAACTTCGCTTACAAAAATGTATTATTCCCCAAACTGAACATAATCAATAATACACGTCATATTTATTTACTAAAATTAACCGAATAATACAATAATCACATGCTATAACTTTATGAATGCCAATAGAAAAAACAACAAACAGACTAAACAACGTTTAATAGTGCAAAATACAAGGCTATAAGACTAGATGAAAATATATTGAATGAAAAAATCTATAACTGATAAACGGAAGTTTACATGAAACTGCAAAACAAATTTCTCGAAAAAAAAAGATCCTATTTAGTGATTTGTTGTCATTTACAATATATATTTAGATTTTAATATACCAACTTAGTATACGATACAACGAAGTAGATTGAAATAATACTAGGTAACATCTAAAGGTTTTTTATTTGGTTAGGACCAGAACAAAACAATGTGCGAAATAGAGGTAAAATTATCATGAACTAAAAAACTATTATATTTCGGAGTGTATTGGAATATCGTTGCCTGATAGTAAAACGATATGATCGCATGTGATGCATTTATCAGAATGAGATTTGTGGCAGATTTATGTAAGAACTAGGGATACTATCCTGTTACCAAAATCCAAACACCTAGAGCTCGGGTCGAACTTGAGAATTATTAGTTGGGAATGGGATATATTAACTTGGGTCATGTACAAACACTTAAAAAGACATAATTAACATTCTGTACAGTGTTTAGACCAGTCAAGTTGTAAACAATCAAAAAACCTGTTGAAATGGATTGAGTGTAATTATAAGATTACCTTAATTCAGCGAATGAAAACTGATTCCTTCATCAAATAAATGTATGTTATAAATAACTTAACTAGCTGAAGAAAATACTTATACCATCTTATATGCTCTTGATTAGAGGACTGAGTTTTCTATACTGAATAAAATATCTATAGCTTATGATGATATTTTAATAGTACTTATATTCAAAGTTAGTCATTCTGTCAGCTACAACGTCGGGCCAGGCACATTTACGCATCGGTCCAAGTTGCCATACCTCATTATCACAACAAGATGGACACCGGATTCATAAAAGTAGTTAATTCAGAGGTGGTAATATATAAAAGAAAGATTGCATATAGAGATATAGTACAAGAAGAAAAAATTGGTTCGTAGAAGGAAAGATATGAAGTGATTTTAATCTCTTCGTTTAAGAGAAGACAGAGAGTGTATACACCGACACCATGGTGATCGATTCTGAGCCATGTCACCAAGAGTCTCCAACCATTGGTTACGATAGTCACGCGGACCCCAACCAAGTAGTCTGCATCTACCGACATGGCTCAGACTAGAAGTTAGTGACTTCAAGCACTGATGCCACGTTTCGGTTCGGCCACCCCTAACTTTCTTCCAACCATCTCAGTCGATGAAGATTTACAACCCAATCAACTGAATTACCATCATTCCCTAATACCCTGTGTCGAACCTCACTATTACTCACCCGGTGATCCCAGCAGATGCCAGCAATATTTCTAAGGCATTTGTGGTCAAATACTAGTAGCCTACGAGTGTCTTCTACTCTTAATGGCCATGTTTCGCTGCCGTAATTTAAAACAGAACGAACAGCCGCGCAGTATACTCGTCCTTTTATTGATAGACGGATATCTCGCCTTCGCCATAGGTGACGTAAGTTGGCAAAAGCCAAACGAGCTTTTCGAATCCGTGCTGAGATTTCGTTAGACACCAACCAATTAGGGCTGATCAGACTTCCAAGATAAGTGAAGTTGTCAACGCCTTCGACTACTTCACTCCCTATCCTTAGTTCAGGTGTTACCGCAGACCAGTCCTGAAGTAACAACTTGCATTTAGAGAGAGAGAAGCGCATTCCAAACATTCTGGCATTGTTGCTCAGTGCTACCAGAAGACTCTGCATTTTATCAGCGTCTTCACCAAACAAGACTATGTCATCTGCGTATTCTAAGTCGATAAGTGGACCTCCTGGAAGGAGATCAATACCCGAGAATTCAGTAGACGAGAATGTTACTTCCATCAATAGGTCTATGATGAAGTTAAATAAAAATGGAGAAAGTGGACAGCCTTGACGGACACCACTTGAGGTTGCAAAAGCAGATGACAATTCGCCACAAGCTCTCACTTGACTGGTAGGGTTTGAGTAAAGAGCCTTCACAAGGTTTATGTACTTCTGAGGTACGCCTTTATATGAGAGACACTGCCACAGAATCTCGTGGTTTACCGAGTCAAATGATGCTTTTAAGTCAAGAAAGACCACCATTGTCGGACGCCGTTAAGCATGCATTGAAGTATGTCTGAACACCGATTACCAGGAAGGGCGATGCTGTGACCAGTGTTAGGGATGATTGGAAGAAAGTTAGGGGTGGCCAAACCAAATCGTGGCATAAGTCTATAAGTCACTAACGTTTTGTCTGAGCCATGTTGGTAGATGCTAATTACTCGGTTGGAGACTCTGGGTGACATGGCTCAGAATCGATCACAATGGCGTAGGTGTATGCACTCTTTTTCTCACCTTAAACCGTGAGATTAAAATTGCTTTATACCTTTCTTTCTAATTCTTTCTTCTTGTACTATATCACTATACACAATCTTTCTTTTACACATTACTTCCATTGAAGTGACTACTTCTATGAATTTGATGTTCATCTTATTGTGCTAATGAGGTGTTGCAACTTGGACCGATGGATACATGTTCCTGGTCCTACGTTGTAGCTGACAGAATGACTAACTTTGAATATAAGTACTATTAAAATATCATCATAAGCTATAGATATTTTATTCGGTGACATCCTTGACCTCTTTTTCGAAATCGCGAAAAATCAAGTCTACAATATGATTAATAATGTTCAGTTAAAAAATTAAATTAACCTACCTTTTGTAATGAGTAAGATAGTAATTCTAATCCACAGTCGCTGGCTGTTGGTAACTCAAACGAATTTAATCGTAAAATCAAACCGCTTAAACTATCAGCTCCCTTCCAAAAAATTGAATTTATCATTGCAATAACTGGGTGACTGTTTGTAGAAAATCGATGACATTTCTTCCTGGCATCTGAATCTAAGGACATTGGTATCGTTTTACCAATTGATTTATTTAGTGTACTAGTCGAAGTTTGTTCTGTTTCGTTCATTGTTTCAAGATACCACTGAGACTCTTTTAAAAGATCCAATAAACTGAGTAAGTGATAAGTACCAATATGGGATTGTTCCAAAGCCCCTACACATCTAAAAAGAACACCGAAATAAAAAATGTATCATCAATGAAAACCAACTCGTACAAGAAAACAGTTCAAATTGACAGAGTCTACGAAAGACTGTAAATTAAATCATATTCAAAACTGACAGTTACATCACTCCATTTAAAGTAGAATTTTCTACCCCTAAATACGGTATTACACTTAACCATCAATTTTCGTGATATTAGCTATCGAATTACTGTTACAATTTTTCGGTGTCCATGAAATTATTATCACCAACAATCAAACATTTTATTGGGGGAAAATTGATTGCAGTGAAGGCAAATTTTATTAAGTATTGTTTTCTCTTAAAATTTTAAACATCATATTATTATACATAACCTGCATCGTGTTTCTGTCAATTCCCTACCACAGTTGAAATCATTATCAATTAGTGACATATGGCAACATGAATCAAAACAGATTTGTGCTATACTAGTTAGCCCCTTGTTTTTAGCCGCGTTCAAGTGATAAAAATTTTGATACTTTCATTGTCCTTCATTTATTTTCCCCTTCCTGACTCATGAGTTTCTTACTTATTTTATTCCATTTCTTTGGTTAAGAAAACTATATGTGTAATCATTTTCAAAAACCGTATATTTATAATGTCCATATAATCAGATTGAAAATAGTCTTGAATACATGAAACTAGAACATCCACACCATGAATTATTAGCCATCAATAAAGCTGAGATGTAATAAATTTATGAATGGACCACAGATGTATTGAATTGGTACTAAAATTTTGGACAACAGCTTGAAGATAATGTGACAGCCTAGTTTGAGGCAAGAATATATATATCAAACAGAAAAGAAACGTTTGGCAATTTAATTTTCGTAAAAAAAGTAGCACACCTTAAAACTAGGTAACACTTATTTTAGTTGCATATTTAGTTATTCTTTTGTTTCGTTTGTCAGTTTTTCAAATAATTTTCCTTCAACAGATTGAAATCATGAGTCAGTTGAAGCTAGACCACCATGGGAAACCTGGAAGCACTGGACGGCCGTTTCGTCCTAGTGTGGGACTCCTCAGCAGTGCGCATCCACGATCCCGCACCCCGTGGGATTCGAACCCAGGACCTACTGGTTTCGCGCGCGAGCACTTAACTATTAGACCACCGAACCGGCATCCAACGGTGTTAATGTCTAACTTCAACCAATCCACGAAGTTGCGCCACCCCTTCTGATGATTTTCCTTCAAATTTGCTACTTTTCTCTGGGTATTGGATTTTATGAAGTCCTGTTTTGATTTTCAATCATAATAAAAAATTTATTGGACGTGATAATATAACTTAGAAAACTATATTTTCAAATTTAAAGTATTTATTGTAATGAAAAAAGAATGAAATGCAAAAATTTAGTATACTTAGAATTAAGTTTTACATACAGAAAAAACGTTATTTATTATAAAGACTAATTACCTGGAAATAACATATATTAGAAATTTGATTTGTAACCTGAGAGGAAACCCAAACAGTTTAAAACTAAATGAGCATAAAGATGATCCATACACCCAAAGATGACTTTGAACAAAATTTAAATATGATTGTGAAATTTTTGTCCCATCTCTGATCAGTGAATTCAATGAAGAGGGAAACGAAGAGTTAATCGCCTTATACAATTCACTTCGACATGCACAGCAGTGAGCTACGTTTAAACCGATTCCAGAACCATGAATTAATTTTTTTGGTGCAGAACCGATACATTTAGAGGATTTGATCTTTTGAACAACTGAACTTGTTTCAGAGGAGCGATTTCGATTACGATCTGAATCACTATGTATTTTACTAGATACAAGTGAATCACAACTATGTAACCGACGAATCCGTGGAGAGTTTCTTGATTTCACTCGAGAAATATTTGAAAATTCTCTCGGAGTTTGATGTATACGACAAGCAATAAAACCTGATAAAAAATGTTACAATTTAAAATAGATGTAGTTGAGCTCATTTGCTTTAGTAATTCCAATTAATTCGGATAAAAAAATTGACTGGGCTTCTGTAAGACTATGAAACTTTATTAACTGTTAAATCAAGATAATAATATGCATTCAGGATGTTTTCTTTTTTGTCGAAAAGGTAATAGGCTATATATAAGTTATGAATGGCATCTGCGATATGATAAAAAAATGAAAAATTTAGTTAATCTAATATGCGCAGTAACATAAGTGATTAGAATTGAGAAATAAAATTGTAGAAGTACATACAATTAAAGAACGAAAAGATGAAAACAAAATTCAAATATCAAGAAACTAAAGAGTGATATTGAACACTGGAAATTGTCAACGAATACAACACTGACAAAGGTTGAAACCTATACCTTAATAACGTAGGGCCTTGAATATTAGTCATGGTAGTTTGTGTGAACAATAAACAACGTTGTTGGCTATTACTGCTACGACCTTAGTTGTCAATCGCATTAAGAATCAAAAAATTAAATTTATAGTCGGAGTTACTCAATTGGTCTAATGATTATTTATCTTTCTGCATAAATAGTTAGAAGGAGGCATGACTGTCAACATATATACACTGATAGTCACCTGTCAAAAGAGTACCTGATAACGTCTATCATACATTATTTGTTCAAAAGTGTTAGTAACGACATTATTTAAAAACGGTGGTAATATTTCAAGTAATCAGGTGATCAAATACTACAAGTACAGTTCGACATAAGTTCTTCAATTCTCCTAGACGAAACTAGTGTTATTAATTGTGGAAACATAGTATGAAATAGTTTGACAGATACTGTCCTCAAATACAATTTTATTAGGATGAAATTAAGTGTAAAATTATGTACTGATTCAAATGTGATTTCCACTAATTAAAATGTTCATATGTATTAGCTTTGTATAAATTTCGTTCAGAATGACAGTCTTTTGATAATAAGCACTATGATTAGGTTTGTATATAAATGAATGTCTTCAAAGGGTTAATTTTGAGTTTTTCTCAACTCGGACTTTTGCTTTCAGTTAATGGTCAGTGTATAAGAAAACAGGACGCATACTCGTTTATTGGCACTGAAGTTGAAGTTCGAAATTACTAGCTAGGTGCACAAAAGTTCAACACTCCATAGTAATACCTCTAGCGGTTCGGATACTTTTGAAGTACTGATATTTGAAAGCCAATCAACGTGAATATGGTTGAATTTGAATACTGACTAAATATGTGAACAGATAGCTATTATGTGGTCTGGCCGAGAGCGGGGTGGACCCGCCCACCCCCTCGAAATGCTCTCACATGACCACGCGTATGCAGCCTCTGCCAGGGAAGTCCTACTCACTGCCTTCTCGAGGTGGGGGTGTTGTTTACGAAAATGAGAGGACGAAAAGCGAATTTCCGACGCTTTAACTAGATTTCAAACCAATGGTGCACATGGGCTCCAGTATCCTGAGGGAACAAATGGCGCATGAATCAGTCGTTGGTCACCGGCTACCATGGGACCGCATCTCCTCACGATGTTCCACTGCCTTGTGGGTTAGACCATTAGGTCAAAGGCTCGGGGTGTGGCCCCCTAAGATAACCACCTGCTTCGGTTCGGGCACCCGAGCAGTATCGCAGCCCACACACAATTAATGAACTGAACTGTCTATGATCATGGAAACTAATTCCCTCGCTTCGATGAACATTCAAATGATTCAACTATTATTATTGCTATTATTATTATTATTATTATTTACTACGTCATTATTCACCCTCTTTTATTCCTACTCTCTTTATACTTATTTTTCGACTTATACAGCACCTCGGCTATGGTGGAAATTCAGCTCTATCTAAACGTTCTCGAGTCACTGTTCGGTTGAAAATTGTATATTACCACCGAATACGAGTACTGAAGCAGTTTTTCTGAAACCACGTGCACCATTCAAACTGGCTGTCTTCAACGTTCGCACACTAATGCAGATCGGACAACAGATAGGGCTGGCTATGTCTTTAGAAAGTCTTAATATCAATGTTTGTTGTCTATCCAAGACCCATATTCAAGACTCTGGTGAAGTATTACAAATTCGCTCTCCATCTGTCGCTTCAAAAAGCTTGTTTCACGTGCGTTTATCCGGGGACCATGTGGCATCTTCGCCTGGTTTTGCTGGCGTTGGTGTCGCACTAAGCGCTAGAGCTGAGGCAGCACTAATCCATCGGATCCCCATTAACAGTCGGTTATGTGCTGTTAGATTACAGAGTTCCATCAAAGTGAGAAGAAATCGGCGTGAGAAACGATGTCTTTTCGTCATCTTCGCCTATGCCCCGACAGATTGCAGCCCGGATGCAATCAAGGATGAGTTTTACCACCAGTTATCTGTTCTTCTCCAGAAAGTGCGTTCGACAGATATTGTAGTACTAGTCAGAGACTTGAATGCTCAGGTCGGGCGTCTAGGCACAGAAGAGAGTCGTTTAGGTGGCCGATGGGGACTTGTTGGTCGCAGGTCAGTTAATGGGGACCGTCTACTGCAACTTTGCACAGACCACAACCTGTTTCTGGCTAGTACTAACTTTCGGCACAGTTGAGGAAGATACAACCACTTTTTTTATAAAGAAAGTAAGAGAAGGTTACAGCAGGATCGCCAACGACTTCTATTCCGAGCCATATCTGGTAACGTCTCTAACCACTGCGTGGCTCCATCTCTTGGACCACAACCACGGAGTCGTGAAGGACCGAAACAAGCCAGCCCTTTACAGCTTTCTTTTATATCACGACAACTTATCATACACTAACCACCTCTCCGTGGTTGTGGTCCAAGAGATGGAGCAACACAGTGGTTAGAGACGTTACCAGATATGGCTCGGAATAGAAGTCGTTGGCGATCCTGCTGTAACCTTCTCTTACTTTCTTTATAAAAAAAGTGGTTGTATCTTCCTCAACTGTGCCGAAAGTTAGTACTAGCCAGAAACAGGTTGTGGTCTGTGCAAAGTTGCAGTAGACGGTCCCCATTAACTGACCTGCGACCAACAAGTCCCCATCGGCCACCTAAACGACTCTCTTCTGTGCCTAGACGCCCGACCTGAGCATTCAAGTCTCTGACTAGTACTACAATATCTGTCGAACGCACTTTCTGGAGAAGAACAGATAACTGGTGGTAAAACTCATCCTTGATTGCATCCGGGCTGCAATCTGTCGGGGCATAGGCGAAGATGACGAAAAGACATCGTTTCTCACGCCGATTTCTTCTCACTTTGATGGAACTCTGTAATCTAACAGCACATAACCGACTGTTAATGGGGATCCGATGGATTAGTGCTGCCTCAGCTCTAGCGCTTAGTGCGACACCAACGCCAGCAAAACCAGGCGAAGATGCCACATGGTCCCGGATAAACGCACGTGAAACAAGCTTTTTGAAGCGACAGATGGAGAGCGAATTTGTAATACTTCACCAGAGTCTTGAATATGGGTCTTGGATAGACAACAAACATTGATATTAAGACTTTCTAAAGACATAGCCAGCCCTATCTGTTGTCCGATCTGCATTAGTGTGCGAACGTTGAAGACAGCCAGTTTGAATGGTGCACGTGGTTTCAGAAAAACTGCTTCAGTACTCGTATTCGGTGGTAATATACAATTTTCAACCGAACAGTGACTCGAGAACGTTTAGATAGAGCTGAATTTCCACCATAGCCGAGGTGCTGTATAAGTCGAAAAATAAGTATAAAGAGAGTAGGAATAAAAGAGGGTGAATAATGACGTAGTAAATAATAATAATAATAATAATAGCAATAATAATAGTTGAATCATTTGAATGTTCATCGAAGCGAGGGAATTAGTTTCCATGATCATAGACAGTTCAGTTCATTAATTGTGTGTGGGCTGCGATACTGCTCGGGTGCCCGAACCGAAGCAGGTGGTTATCTTAGGGGGCCACACCCCGAGCCTTTGACCTAATGGTCTAACCCACAAGGCAGTGGAACATCGTGAGGAGATGCGGTCCCATGGTAGCCGGTGACCAACGACTGATTCATGCGCCATTTGTTCCCTCAGGATACTGGAGCCCATGTGCACCATTGGTTTGAAATCTAGTTAAAGCGTCGGAAATTCGCTTTTCGTCCTCTCATTTTCGTAAACAACACCCCCACCTCGAGAAGGCAGTGAGTAGGACTTCCCTGGCAGAGGCTGCATACGCGTGGTCATGTGAGAGCATTTCGAGGGGGTGGGCGGGTCCACCTCACTCTCGGTCATACCAGGGCATTTGGGGGTTATTAATCAGTGACTGGTCAATTTTGTCGTGACCCAGATGTATGACGTCTTTAGAAAACGAACTAGAGAAACGATGAAAGATCTCATGAGAGGATTTTCAGATCATTGTATTTTTCTGTGACCACTTGTGTAATAGGCAATAATACCATACAGCTATCCCAAATAAAGCAGACAGAACCTCGAAACCTGTATGCTTTAACACCCAAGCTACCGTCTTACTATTAAGTCTTATTCGTTGATTCTTTTATATCCACATAGTACTACATAATTTTGCAGTATTTGTGTCCGAAACTTCCTTGTAGTGAAAACCCTTATTATTGGTATCTAAAAATCAACCGCTTTTTTGAAGTCATTATATATACAAGTACCAGTAAAACACAACAAGCTTACCACGTGTAATTAAAAACCGTAATGCATCATCATAACCTTGGTTAGCTAAGTTAACCAACTGATCAGGAGACATTGGCCACACCATTCCCACTAAACGTTTAATATTTGTTAAGTTGAAGCTCATTGAAAGATTCAGTAATGAGATTGAGCCTAACACATCTTCGTACTTTTGTGGCTGAGCCCTATGATACTGTGGGCCCCATTTTGATTCCAACGGACATATATCCGAATCACCAGCGAATGGACTAACTTTAATAGTTTGTTGGTTTATGCTAAGTAAATTGTTTGATAAACCGCCATCGACCACAAGCTGAAAAATGGATACAGCAATGTAATCATTATCATTAGGGTATGCCTTAACTAGTATTTCAAATTTATTGTTATATGAACCCTTACTACTCACATTAATCACTTTTAAACTGTAACTGAGGTTACTCTATTCAAACAGAAAGTGGTTTCATCATTGAACAGTAGTCCTAACTTGGAAAGAAATTTGGATTTCCAGTTTAGTAAACATTATGTTTCGAAAAATGGCTGAGACAAATATTAATAATGTCTACAATTATAAATATATAAAAATAGGTCAGTAAACCGGTTTACTTTCAGTATAATCTCTTATTACAGAAGAGATAATAAACTAACGAGTATTCGGAAGGATATTGAGTATGATAAATAGTTTTCTTTAAAATCAGCAACTAAATAATCTTCTGGATTCCTGAAAGACCTCAACAAAAATGTGGTGCTGTTAACGATGAACTTAGAAGAGATAAGTTCTGAACAGAACGAACTGACCGTAACTCTGAAAAACAAAGATATCTAGTAATGAAATAAATATCTGGAGGAAATTAGGAATCTTTACTTTCCAAACAGTATGCTTGTTAATATGTATGAAAAAAGAAGTATCCAGGACTGTCAAGAAGAGACTACTAACACGAAAACTCACAAAACATTCATGTGTGACCAGCCTCAAGTATTTGTCCCTTTGGCACTATGGGCACGTTTTCAGGTCACTAAGATCAACTCTAACCCGATTTTATTTTCAGGTACCTCTAGAAAAACCTTTCCACGATGTGAGTAATTGGGAAGCGATAACCACTTTCATACTTCTAACAGCACTCAAGACCAAAGTATTCCAAATTTCCCTCTTTATGTCACATCTTTGTTCGCCAGCCAATACCTTTCTCACAACTTATTCGCATATCTACAAATATTGTGCATCGAGGTATATCATGGTTATTCATATGTAGTACGTGTCCCAACCACTTCACTAAATCGATATTCGCCAACTCCTCAAGTAACTAGCTATTTTTCACCCAGTACTGCACGTCAACATCAGGACTGCCATTCGGTGGTTCTAACATGCACGAGCAATGCCCCGAAGCCACTTATAATAAAATACTAGTAACCTAAAAACGTCATTTGTCCTTGAAGACCATGTTTTTATAACCACTAGATATCTATAGTCAAACAAGAACCTACATAAATTATATGGCATAAGAAAGTAAAAAGCGAACTTCCACAAAGTATACTTGGCTGAATGGCAGAAGAATACTTAATGAGTTCGCAAGTGCAAAGGAATGATAAAAGACAAGTGAAATAACTGTACCCGTATTGAGGTTCTGGCGACTACCAGCATATCATGATCGATGACAGTCCTAAACGAGGTGGTAAACTCACTCAAGGGTCTTATTTCCCAAAATTAAACAAGGCCCATACTTTATATAATACACGTAGTTATAATAGCTGTACTAACATATTGAAATGAAAGTTGTTTATAAGTCCTACAATATATCTTATAAATGATCAACAACATATTACTAATTATTTACTGACTTTATATCTACTGTCGTGGAGTTTTACGTTTCCGAAAATAGAGACCTCACAGTGCCTCATCAATACAGTTATCTTTAGAACTTTACTCATTAGCATCTACGACACTAAAATTGACAGACTCTTCGAAACGCCGTAAGTTTTGAAGATTTTGTGGTCACATAGTTTTCTTGGGTACTTCTTTCTACGCTGTTTCTGACAATAAGAAATTTGAGAGAAGAAAGGTATTTTGATATACACGTCTTCTCTGCATACATGAATTCAGTATATGAACACTCTAAACCCACCTAAAGCCGTTTTGCAATCATTATTTAAAAGTCCTTTACGCTGAACTCATAAAAAGAAAACATGTGACAGGCTTTAGATTCTCTGGATATTCGGGAATACAATTGTTCATTTCAAAAACGAAGAACATGGGGAATCATGTAAAAAAGAGAATGGCTTACCTGACCTCTAAACGTTAATGGAACAAACCCGCTAAAAATAGGAATATACGCAGAACACAGCAGAGCCTACAAAACATTAAAATTATAATTACGGTATTTTTAGGCTTACTTGGATTACCTCATCCCTATTTTTATACTTTCGGACGATTATGTTTTTTCGCGTGGTGAAGCATGTTAACGATATCGAAAGACGATCAGAGCATAAAACATGAGCATCTGGTGGCAATAACTGAGATAAGCCATCTTTTAAATATTCGCTTATTTTATATCGTGGATCAAATGGACCAAGTGTAAATCGTCTCGTATTTTCAATAAGTTTACAAATATGCCGGACGCATACATCTACTTAATTTAAATTTTGTGTACATGATAACTTACCCATATCCAAATCACATACTAAACAAGCCGCGGCTAATGCACCAGCACTAGTTCCAGATACTGGTTTGTTTTGATATAGATGGGGTGCGAAACGTTTAATACAGCAACAAACGCCTATATGATACAATCCGAGAAAGCCGCAGCCAGCAAAAGACAGATTATGTTTAGAGCTTGGTAAATCTCTATAATAACGATCTTCAATTAAGTCAATGTCTGCGACTGAATACATTTCGTCTACAGTGATGCGGCCCAAAAACTTCCATAAACTTTAAATTTCGCCTGAAATTGTATAGCGGCGGGGATTTAGCGAATGTAGAATTAAAGTAATAACAAACTAAAGAATTCCTCGAATTTACTTAGAAACAAGTTACTAGTCGTCTGTAAAGCTTATGGTTAATGACCAAGTAAATCCCAACATTAAACAAATCAGTTGAAAAAATGGCCGGATTTATTGAACTTTGTACCACTAAATTCTTAGCTAACCAGCCGGTTTCCTATCTACTTAATAACAAATTTTCTGTAGATCTGTCAATAAATTCATATGTATATGTATTGATCTTCATGCACATGTACGCTAGTGTAAATTTACAACAACAAAAAGTTTTTGCAGGGTATCTTTTCTGGCTAGAAATCGGTTGTTTAAATTATAAAGCGGTCTGTGATTAGAAGAAAACGACCCTAGATGAAATAGTCGTCTACTTTACTATAGGACAAATACGTAAAAAGGTTTCCAGGTGCGACACCCGTCACTACACAATAATCTGGGGATACACTCATAGTGCAGAAATGCAGTTGCTAGGGTGAGAAAAAACCATGACTGACAAAGTTTACATATTTGGAACACGTTTTTCGATAACCTAAAGCACTGACGAATCTGACAATAATAACTCTCGTGTCTCGAGGTACAGGTTGCGTTATTAGCTTAAAACCCAACACAACAGTGACCGGCCTAACAAGACACATTTTAATGTCCTAAACAACCTAAAACGCTAGTAATGACAAGTACTTTTAAACCGAAATCAAAATGTGATATTTTAAGACATAAAAGCTAAATTAATTGCTACAACTAGTTTATTTAATCAACTTAAATTAGTACCGATTTATTGTGTGGATCACACCGCATAACTAATTCATACATGTGTGTATTAGTGTACCTAGGTTGACTACATAGTCGACAGAAATAGAAAAACAAAACAGTGCTTTAATTTCTTATTTTTTTAATTCTACAGCCAAAAATTACCGCGCAATAAAACCAGTTGAAGAGATCTATATTCATAAAAACCACAGCGCAAATAGCTCCGTTACAAAATGTAACGTAGTATTTAAATCTGTCACTTAACAGAACAGTAATCAAACCAGCCTCAATTTCAAATTACTGAAAGGAAACAAGAACTTCTTTAAATCTAAATTAAGGACAAATCCAATACTTCGAAATGTGAAAAAGTGAGCTTTTTATGTAGTTTTCTGGACATAATATCACTTATAATAAATTTGGATATTCGGTTTGATAACGGAGTTCTCGGTTTTCCTTCTGTGGATTATTTATGCGGACTAGCCGCACATAAATTTCATATCAATTGTTATCATTTCGTTAGTTAATATACAATTTTATTGTAAGTCATATTCGTTGTATTTTTGTTTTATTCATAGGCAGACATTCGTTTGTTGATTTAATAGTTTTCGGCATAGCATTATAGGCTGCATGCATTACTTTATCATGAGTTTATTTACTGGGACCTACTACAAATGATTCACTCGAAAAACAAGGAAGTCGATTGTGATTGGTAGAGATAGCAAGTGTCAGGGTAGGCATAGACAGAGAGATATGAGACTTGCAACGACTGAAATACCAATATTCGTTTGAACGCAGAACAAACGAATAAACATTTTTCCACTAGGTCGGACTATCTCCTTGTGTGTAGCGTACGAAACGTCTTTAAGTAACTCGTATTAAAGTATATCAAAGAACAAACTCTGTGTTTACTTTCGACAGTTCTATTTTGATGAGGAAAACGAATTTTATCGAAAGCACAAAATACACCAAACGGTATGGCCTATACTGTGCGGTCTGTTACATCTACATGGTTGTTTTCTTGATATACCGCGTATAACTTGAGCACTAGAACGCCAGAACCCCTCAAAGTCACAACGAGAAGACAGAAGACCAGTGAAAGTATTGTTATTTCAGACAGTGTCAATCATAGTACAAAATTGTCAGGTATTTATAGTTTTTAGTAGGAAAAAAATCATCACTACAGTCCTCCAATCCGTATACAGAGTGTTATTAGCATTGTCCAATCGGGAAGCTACACGTAGGAATTCTAGAATATTCTTGCAAAGGGTGATTGGATGGAATATCTAGGGCTCCTTGGGAGCCTCATACAGCTTCCTCGAGTTGAACCGTGGTCCGTCCTCAAACAAAATAATATGATCAGAGTTTGTGTTATTTTCTAAGATTCTTCGGAAATTTTAGATGATTAATTTAGGGAACGTTAAGCTCCCAAGTACGACTGGAGATGGGGGCGCGAGGGGGGAGGTTCACTCTACCTTTCGAAATGCTTGCATACGAAAGTGTGTCTACACCCGCTTTCATTTAGGAAATTTTTACCGTGTATCAGTGGTGATCATTGATCTTTCGGGTTCCTGAAGAAATTAATGGTATATGAACCTAAGTGAACCTCTGTTACAATGAAAAGGCAGGTTCTAACGTTGTTTCCCTGTCATAAATAATAAATACTATAATCAAAGGTCCAGGTGCGATGACTCATTACGAGGATCTATCGAATTCTGTTAGTACTAAGGACTAGATAAACATGAAGCAGTAGTCTTGTATTTATTTTCTATATTCCTTTAAATCTTGGATAGAATATTCTTGCAAAAAGTTATTGGATGGAACCTCTCTGGCTCCTTCTGGGCCTCTTACAGCTTCCTCGAATTCACTCGTGGTCCTTCCTCACGTAGTCAAAGGTATCTCTTACACAAAGTAACGTGCTAGGCAACAAAAAGTCATAGTTAATAAACAAGAGTTCTATACCGAATAATTAGTCAAAATATTCCAAACAATATGGGATCAGCTATCTGTCTGCAAGAGCTCCAGCAACATTTCTGGTCAGGCGGTCAAGGGCTTGTAGTCATACACCGAACCACACCATGACATTGAACTTAGTCGACTATGACCCTATTGTCGATTGCTCGGCTACACGCAACAGTGAAATTATGTAACAATAAGTGAGTCCTTGACCAACGCCCCATCATAAAAACTCAGAAGAGGATGACTGGAGTTCATTATGTGCGGTTAAGAGAGATCAGAATAAAGGTTACAATACAGGGCAGGAAGTAGGAACAAATAAATGACATTGATGTCCAACGAAATGCTTCGGAGGGATTCTCATTGTGATCTTTGCGTTACAAGACTTCTATGTTAACTATTTAGGGTAGCTGATACATCTCATGGTCACTTTTTCACTACAGACCAACAGTGATAGATTGACAGTCTTCAGTTGATTTATCTCGTGAAGTATATTGTCAAGTGTCTACATAGCTCTTAGCCTATCATAGCATCGATCAGCAGAAGCAGGTAACAGTTAGGATGACTTCTAAGTGACTTGGGTTTCCAAGGTTATTCGAATGTAAATCTCGATTTAAATAACTCGTGAAGATGTTAAGCAAAAGTACTGACCACAAAAGAGGTTCCTGAAGCTTGACTCATGTTAGCACGTGCGTTTACCTGTTCAAATGAGATTAAATTAAGGATGTGCGTTTTCTGTCACCAGAGGAAGTTGAAGGTGATGATACTGCAGATAGACAGTAATGTAGAAGTGCTGTTAGCGGACGGAGTGAACAGTAAAAAAACCAATTAGGCATCAAAGGAAACATTCAGCAAAGGAAATGGATGTCAACGAATTGCTGGTAATGCTAGTCCCAATGTCAATATAAATTCAGTTTAATCGCAACGAGGTCTAAACCTGTTGCTTATCCAATACAACTGTTATTATAGTTCATTAGATCTAATTATACGTTTATTGAAGTGTACTTTCCAGGATGCTAGAACTGGAATTGACTTCCAGAAAATCCAGAATCCTACTATATTATTCAGTTGTCTTGATCTGATTCGTATTCGACGCCATACAGGGAGGCGTTTAATTAACGATAATTTTCGTTCTCATGAGAATGTGGATAACAATGCACTTGAAGATGGCACAGGTATTCAGTGTTTGACAACGCTTCTACCAGTAACACCTAATATGATTCGTAAACACCCAGAGAAATCAAAAGACAGAGTCGAGGAGATCGGAAGAGTGTATTTGGCGATAACCAATATATCGGAATTCTCTGATCTAATCTGGCCAGCGATTACGGTAGATGTTGAGCACAGCGTTACCATACGTGATCTGGTGCAGATGCCTGATCGAGCGCCTTCAGCTAGATGAGTCCACTAAAACATATTGTCAGCATCCAATGTCGAAAACTTACAGAGCTATTTATTTTGGGGATTTATTTACCACTAAAGATCACTTCTCACCTAGTGGGGTAGTGACGACCCTAAGATGTGGCCAGCCAGAAGTTTAAACCCAACGAGTCTGTCGTTGGTAAACACTCTTCTGATAGCTTGCTAGGTGTAGCAGCATCTGGTCGTCTTTCTTTACTATATGGGACCGAGGTACAACATAGTAAAAAAGAAAAAGTACAATGAAAATTTCGGCTCCTAGTAAACTTTCTCCTTCTTTTCCAGCCGTCCTGGAAGAGAAAGAAGAAAATGTAAGTGCATGTCGAAATACACTCGTATGTGCGTGAAAACACAATGTCGGCGAAAGAAAATTGAAAATAATCGCATGCACACGTAATAGCGTTAAAAAATATATAATGATTTTTTTTTTTTTTTAAACAAACATATAAATATATGAGCGTATTAAAATCGTTTTTTTAAAATTTCATATATCGTAAAAAGAAAGATCGAGATAATATAAAATGTCGAGTAGTGCCTTACGTGCAATAGTCGTTTAAATGTTCTGGAAATCTTACTCTTCTTCCAGAACGCGTCGTTTTAAGTTTATTTTCAGATACATTCGGAGTATCGTCGCTTGTGTTGGTTGTCGGTTGAGGAATTATGAGCGTCGGAGTCGTGTCGTTCGACTGTACCGAAGGTAAATCGACGTGAATAGGATTTCCTTCTAAATACGCTGCTTTGAGGCGATCGATGCTGATGCTATCGTTGGCTCCGTTCTTATCGATTATATAGTACTTTGTTTCGCGTTGAACTTTGAAAGGTCCCTCGTATGCTGGTTCGAAAGGTCGTCGATGCGAGTCTCGACGTACGAAGACGTTTGTACTATATCGTAAGTCAGGTTGAACGAAAACATCAGTTGAGCGGGCCCACTCCCTCACGTCTTTATTCATGCCAGGCCAGCAAAACCGTTCTGCTATAAGCTTGATGGTTGCACGAACACCTGGATGAGAAAGTTTGTGCAATGTATTGAAGACATTGCGTCGACAATGTTTCGGCACGATTGGGCGATCCCTACCTGTAGATCTGTCACAAAGTAAGGTTTCCTTAGCTGTTCCCATCTGTTTGATGCGTAGTTTGATGGTTGTGGACGATAACTCGTGCTGAAGATCAGTGTCTTCTTTTTGAAGCTCGGCGAGTTTAAGGAGGTCGATTCCTTGGAAACTGTTCAAGGACGTTATGCGAGATAAGGCGTCTGCAACTACATTGTTTGCTCCAGAAATATGTTGAATATCTGAAGTAAACTGCGAAATGTAGTCCAGTTGTCGAGACTCACGGGGAGAGTACTTGTCAGAAGGAGAGCTTAACGAGAAAGTGAGCGGTTTATGGTCCGTGAAAAGAGTGAATTCACGGCCTTCGATGTAGTGTTGGAAATGCCGTACAGCACAATACATAGCTAGGAGTTCCCTACCGAATGTGCTGTACCTCGATTCGGTGTCTAGCAACCTTCTAGAGAAAAATGCCAAGGGTTGCCAGGAGTTGTTAACCCATTGTTGTAAGACTCCTCCGATTGCTGAGTCGGATGCGTCTACTGCGATGCTAATGGGTGCTCGGGTGTCCTGATGTGCGAGCATTGTTGCTTTAGCAATCAGTTCCTTAACTGTGGAGAATGCTTTTCGTGCGGTGTCGTCCAAATTAATGGATTTCGCATTTCCACGAAGTTGGTCGGTCAGAGGTTTCATAAGTGATGCGCATTTGGGTATGAAACGTCTATAGAAACTTACCAGGCCGTTAAACGTGCGTAATTGCTTGACGGTGGTCGGTTCTGGGTAATCCAGAATGGCCGCCACTTTGGTTCTAAGGGGTCGGATACCTTGAGCATCGATAGTGTGTCCCAGAAAGTCTAA